CTGGTGTGGGGGGAGAGATTCATTCACTTACTCAGTCGTCCATTGCGGAGAAGGGAAGGTGCGGCGCCCGACAGCCGCGGGCCAGTCAGGGTGTGTGGCAGAGGGTCTTGTGCCCATGGTCCAGGGGGAAGTTGCCAGTGGACAGAGTGTTCTGGGCACATCTGACAGCGGCAAGCCATGCCCAGAGTTCTGGGGCCATGCAGGGCCGTGCGGGCCAGGAGGAGCTGTCCGCCCCAGACTCGTGCTAATGAGGCCCTGCCACTCCACAGAGGTCGAGACAGAGGCCCCCACTCCTGGCCAGCCTGGAGGTGGGGGGTTTGGGGAAACTGGGGTGAGTCTAGCTAAAGCCCTTGCACGGGGCCCGGGTTTTTTGTTGGCCAACAGAGAAAGCAGGCAAGGTGGGACTTGACTATCACTCAAGCTGGGCTGGTTCCTCCTGTCTGATCCGGGAATGGGGGGGCTCCCAGTACCCCGACTTTAGGGTCCTGAGCAGGAGACTTGGGAACTGCCTCCTGGGAGGGGAGGAGAGGGCGGAGATGCAGGGCTGGGAATGTAAACAGCTTGCGGAGGAGACCTATATGCGTTTCGGGCCGGGCCCTCTGAAGGAGCCTGGTCCTTTTTCGTGCAGTACTTGACTGTGTAAATATTTTTCTTAGGAGTAAAGAGAGAGTCTCCATTCATTGGGTAGGATCTCACTTGAAAGAACTGAGAAGTATCTGTTTAGCCATAAAAGCGAAAAACAGTGTCCAAGGCACCTTTCAAAAAAATCATTTCTGTAGCTCAAACACGGCCAAGTGGAGGGTTTTTTTTTCTCCTTTTTTTTTTTTAATGCAAAAAATAAATAAATATGACCCGCTCCCAGTTGAGAGCTCAAGAGTTTGTGTCAACACCGTTGGAGCCTTTGCTCTGGGAGCCAGAGTGGGCTGGCCGGTGACTAACTGCCCTGATGGTTCCTGGGGGCGCTGCCAGCAGGACACCACCCAGGCCACACCACCAGGCGGAGGGGGGGGGCAGTGGCAAGGGGCTCCTGCGAGCTTCTGGCTGGGGTTCAGGTGTGACTCTGGTCGGAAGGGTCAGTGTGTGGCTCCCTTCCACCCAACGCACCACCCGGCAGCCTCCCAGACTCTTCCTCTGGATTCAGGAGGCCGGATTCAGATGTGGCCGCCAGCACCCCAGCAGCTCTTTGACCTTTGCCCTGTCGCTCTAACTCCCAAGACTTTGTCTCCTATCTCTAAAGCCGGGGTAACCCCAGCTTGCACCCAGATGGGGCTATCGGGAGCAGGACGGGGAAGCCGCCTTGGAGGCGCCCGAGCAGCAACCCCCCCCGAGCCCCCACCCGAGGCTCCCAGAATGACTGCCTGCACCGCTACAGCCCAGCGCCGGCCACTGTGGCATTTACACCAGGGAATGTGGCTATCATGGTAGGACTTGGACTTGGTCAGAAAACTCAGCCTGAGAATTGTTTTTGAGAAAGCTCATCTTCCCAAGAAGGGAGGATGCACACGTGAGGCCGTGGGCATTCTTTGCAGGAACTAAGATGACCTGGCAACCAGGCAGTTTGATAGATTTTGATCGGCAGTTCATTGGGTCCATTTGAGGGCACTGCTTAGTTGGTCTAAAACCCTCCTATGATGGGAGGCCATGTGTGGTCCAAAGCAGCTCACCATGGGCTGGGGGTGGTGGTCACCAGCTTCAGGCTTGACCTGTCTGCCCGGAATGTGTCCCTCAGTTTCCTGGAGGATGGCAGAGTGAGGCTAGGGCTCGGCCAGCAAGGGAGGGGGCTCCTTCCATCAACCCCTGGGGCCCCCGCCCTGCCTCCGAGGACAGCCTTGGGCAATGACCTGCACAGATGGCCCTAGCCCAGCCCACAGAGGCCCCTTCAAGGGGAGGGGCCTTGTAATCAACTTTTAGCCACTTCTAGACACAGACACACCTCTTTGGGTAGAAATGTGGCTTTAGCATTGGAGATAGAGGAACAGGGTAGAGAGGCCTGGGCTTCAAAGCCAAGAGGAAGAGGTCAGTAAGTGAGAACACTTGATGACCTCTTGGACCACAGGCCGGACTGGAGGAAGGGGCACTTCATCTTGCTTCTCTCTGGTTTTGGAAGCCACGTGTTCAGAGCTCTATCTGGGTTTCCTCCTGTGTGTACGTTTTCAGATCCTTTAATAACAGACTATTTCGAAGGGAGAGAAACCTTCTGGGATTCGTTTGTGACACCGAGCAGAAAGCCTAGCCCCCTCAGGGGACATGCCAGAACTCCAGAGCTGTGAGCATATGGATGTCTGTGTATGTGTGTCTCCTCTGGGCTGACTTTTCGGAGAACAGAGGCTATTTATTTTAAGAGTCAAAAAAAGATGCTTTGAGCAATCCCACTTAGCTCAGTCCTGACACCAAGACCCTTGAGAGGAGCAAATGCTCCAGGTCAAACCTCACTTTTTTGGCTAAACTACTTAATCAAAACACACCTAATACTTCTGCTGGTGTGGAGACGGGCTTGAGAGCAGAGACCACCACTGCCAACAGCCGGCTGGCCAGCAGTGCCTGTGCCGAGGGCTCGGCAAGCAAAATAAAGAGGGTTTTCAGCAAAGCGGTGGACTTGGCAGCGAGAAGCCTGGGACAGAGGCTCCAGAAGGGGTGCGTGAGGCAGACTTTCACCCGAGGTCAGAGGGTCAGTGAAGAGCAGGGGTGATGGTGGTCACACCTGCCAAGGTGGCCATCACATCAGGGGGAGGGGGAGGCAGAGAGAAGTTGCCGGGACAGGATGGTCCTGGGACCCACTCACATCTCCTGGCAGGAGGCTGACTTCCTCTGTATGGGAGTGTCGGCCAGCTTGGGCTTAACACCCCCAGCTCTCTCCGTATCTCACTGTTGGATGGGGCTCCATTCTGCAGCCGAAGCACCCCAAGCTGGGCCTGTCCAAGGGGAGCCCAGGGCCACGCTCCAAGGAGCAGCAGAGAGACCCTCATCTGCCTGGTCCCACCAGCCTGGCCCTGCACTGAGAGCCTCCTCTGTCCTGTCTCTCTTGCTCCGCGTGTTGTACTGGCATCCTGACCTTCAGGGATAGTACCGTTGGAACACCCACTTCTGTACCCCCAGCCTGGAGCTTTGCTACCAGCACAGGCCCTCTAGCTATGCACAGGAAACTCTCTGAACACTCTTGTCTCCCAAAAGCAGTCTCCAGTTTCCAGCTGCCCCCCAAATCAATAGTGACTGTGGCAGTGCCATGAGCTGGGCCCGGCTGAGAAGCCCAGCTCCTCAGTGTCCCCAGGACAGTGGCCTGGTGGTCAGCGTGCTTGCTGGGCGTCTCTGCAGGAGGTCCCCGAGGCCCCTCCCCTGGGAGGGGTCACAGCAGCAAGGTAACGAGGAGTGACAGTCTTCAGGCTCGGGCTCCTCCATGGCGGGCTTTGGGTGGGGACCTGCTTTGTCCTTCACAAGGGGACAGGATCCGGGAAGGGGAGTCGCTCGGATGGGTGGCCCCTTCCGCAGTTTTGCCCTGGGCCCTGAAGACTGTGAGGCTTAGAAAAATTAACACAGTGTTTCTCCCTCTGATTCAAGCCACCCCGTCATAAGGGACAAGTGGGTGAACTGCAGGACTCGGGGCCCCTGCTGGAACCTTCAGTTCCGCGTGATGCTGACAAAGGTCTCCAGGCGGGGTGCAGGCCTGAGCAACCTGGAGGAGGAGAGTGGTCCATCTCCTTCCCTGGGGGGCATGGCCTCTTCTTGGACAACACAGGCTCTCCTGGGACCCAGGCAGTCTGTCTCTCTCCTCTTGTCCCAGGGCTGACCGGGCTCCAGCCAACCTTCTTGGCTCTGAATTTGGGAGTGAAAAGCAGACAGACAAGAGGACTGTCTCACTGGCCTGTCTGCTGGCAGAGCTAAGCCCCCAGGTCTGAAGCTAGCTCGTCTCCCCCGGGGCCTGTCCACCCGGGTCCAGTAGGGCCTGAGTACCTAGGTACCTGACCTCTCGCCGGCCCTCCTGGAGAGACTTTCCTGGTGTGTCCGTGTCTGTCTCTTCTGCCTCATTCTCTGTTTTCACTCCTAGTCGCATTCCAAACCACAATTTCAGAATCTATTAAAAGAAACATAAAATCCCCAATTGGTTAGAATTCTCAACATTTAAAAATATGACTTATTGTTATTACAGCTGAGTCTGGGCAGATCTGCCAGCGTTTGGAACGGAGCGTCTTGGTCCTCTGACCTGACCTGCATGGTCACTGGCAGGCACTCTGCTCCGAGCTTGTCATTCAAGAAGCAATGGTGTCATTAGAAGGGGAGGAGGAACAAAACCCCTGGGTTTGACCCCATTTCTCTTCTTATTCTCCAAATATTGGTTTCCATCTTGGTTTCTATTCTTATGGAAACGACATCACAAATTTATATACGTGTCTGTGCAGCGTACTTGTGATCCAAAAGGGAAAATCCCGTTGATGCTGCTAATTTGTCAGTTTGCATAGCTTAGAAAAGACTCTGGGACCCGTCACTGAAACGTCACCCTCTGGAGTGGAACTGGGTGGTTTTGAGGAGGAGATGCCAGCCAGGCAAAACGCTACAGCTCTTCAGAGCTGAGCCAAGGAAAGCTCCAAGTCGAAGCCATTGGGTGGAAGAAAGACCCAGGGTGGCTGGCACTTTCCTCGATGCCCCAAGGCCATGTCCATGAGTGGGATGGTGGTGGGAGGAGAGAAGACTTCCTGCTGCTGCCACTGCCCACTGCTGGGGTAGGGGCTCACTCCAAGAAACAAGGAAGGAGCCCCTTACTATTTCAAGCACCACAGTGCCCCTAACCACACGTGCAGTCTGTACTGAGTCACCACAGTGAGCTCCACAGTGTGGCTCCTCCCTGTGATCGGGGAGGACCCCAGTTCTCTTATTACGGAGAAGCCACCTGCCTTACCCCTATTATTTCAGAGCTCGCTCGTTCTGCCCGCATGTGTATAGCCCACTGTAGCTCGAGGACCGTGCTCAGTCGGAAACTAACAACCCGTTTCCAAATTGTTTTGCAGCAAATGCTGACGGATGCGGAGGTGTCATCGCAGGAGGGCTGCATCCAAAAGGTAGGCAAGCTGGTTCTGCGCCTTCTCCCCTCCTGTTGAGCCTGCACTCTGGTTGAGCCTGCGCTCCCGAGTGCGAGTGCAAGGCCATCTGTGGTCGGTCGAGCGCGGGATTCCCCAGGGATCAAGACGGATGCTGGTTTTCATGGTGCAGCAGGTAGCAAGCAGCTCGATTCACGGAACCAACCTGTTCCGGAGAACCAAGGCGAGCCCCGTACGTGTGGGAATGCTTTGGGCCAATCAGTTGCACAGAAATGAAATAAATGCAGATTGTGTTTGTTTAAATATCTTCACTGGATACTCACATGAAAAGAATATAGAGAAGAAAAGCACAATTGGCTGCAGATTCACCAAAGCCTTTCACTGTACTCAGTCTCCGAAGATGGCTCAGGCACCATATTAAGCAAAGCGTCAGTTGACGAAAAAGTGTCAATGTGGGCATTGTCCCCTGGTGATGGGTAACAACCATTTGACAAACATGAGATCCGAAAGGCCCAGAAAGTGGGCCAGGCCCAGAAAAACAGCCCCCCCACCCCCCCAGGGAAACACACACCCGCAGGCAGGCACATTCCTGCATGTGCAGGCTAGGCAGACAGCAGAGGGGAGGGGAAAATCACTTCAAACCCTGAAGCCATTTGTCAGCTGGAGTTCAACATCCAGAGAATTTGGGCTATCCGTGCATGAGTATATACATGTACACACACACATCCACACAGAGAGACACACGCACACATACACAAACACATAGACACACACTTGTAGAGACACAGACATGCACACAATACAGACACACAAACACAGATATAAACACATGTGGTAGCTGATGCAGTCTTTTGGTTTTTCAGTAAAATAGCATTAAATATAGCCTTTTCTCTCCTGGCATCTTGACTTCAAAGCATCGTACAGACCAAGCTGAGAGAGTCCATCTTCTCAGGGTACCCAAACCACATCAGGCAGCACAGCGCGGACGTCTGGGATGATGGGTCAGCACAAGGCTACCCAGCTGCTGTCAGGGGCTGTTTTCTTAGTGTCAGAATCGCCAAGCTATGCTCATGAGGTGCTGTCCCCCCTCCCAGGAGGGTCCAAAAACTGCCTGAGCATACACTGCTGTCATCATGAAAAGTCCTCTTTGGGTCTGGAAGTTGACAAGAAAGCAATTTGCTGGTTCCGCCGATCTCTGTGACTTTCTTCCTGTGTCTGGCTGGCTGGTTAGGGTCGGGGCAACTGGGGGACCTGCCATCCCAGGGGACTGAGTCCTAAGAGCCGAGGCCTTCCCTTCTCACCAGGGTCAACCCCAGAGACATTGATTTCAGAGAAAACCATGTGATGGGGGATGTGGTCTGACCCTGCGGTGACCTCTGGCAGGGGTGACCTTCAGCCTCATTTGTCTCCATAAGCGCGTCTGTGTCTGGCCCGGGGGGGAATTATGTCTGAGCAGAGCCGGGACAGAGTGTCCTCTCCCTGTCCACTGCCCAGGGGCCTGAGGCCTCTCTTCCTGGAAATGCATCCGCAGGCCCCAAAGTGAATCCCTGCCGTGTCCCTCTCCCTCCCCCACTCCCCTCTCTGACCCTGGGAGTGAACTCTGTTTTCTTAAAGGAGGAGGTGGCCAGAGCAACTTGAGCAGCTTCCTTGTGCCTTTCACAGCTTTCAGAGAATTGAAGTGCTTCCACCCCCCCACGCAGAGAAACCACAGTCAGCTCATCTCTCAACTACTAAAAGGAACATGGAACCTCCATCTTCCCCGCTAAGAAGAAGCTCACACAGGGCGGGAGGTGAGAGGTGGGTCAGGAAACCGGTTGTCCGGCCTGGGGACAAGCTTCAAGGCAGAAGGTCAAATGGTAGGGTCTAAGGTTAAGGTCAAGAGGAGGAAGGGATGCATCCTCTTTCCCCTGAGGTGGTGCTGCCTCCAACGTGGCCTCTCCTTTTTGCAAACGGTGGAGCCAGCGGGCCTTGGATACTGTGGCCCAGACATCCTTCTGAGAGCTCCTCACGGGGTGGGCACAAGCACCCTCCAGCCAGGGGCCCACTCACAACTGCCCAGCTTGGCACAGCCTCCCTTCAGATGCAGACCTTTGTAAGTCCCATTGGAAGGGTGCCCACAGAACCAGACCAGACCCCTATGGCAGCTACAGTAGCTGGGAGAGGCCAGTGCCAGGCAGCAGAGCCGAAGGCACCAGGGCTGTGGTTGCTCTGAGAGCCACTCTCCCGTGCCCGGCCCCTGAGGCCCTAAGGCTTTGTCCACCTCCCCCGATACCCCTGCCCTCACGGAGAAGTGCTCCTCTGAATCCCCGGACTCTCCCATCCTCACACTAAACTTAGTGCAAGGCATTTGGGGCATCAAGTGTGATGGGGTGGGTGCCCTGGGTCATGTTGGTCGATGATCAAAACCTAAACTTGGTGTCTGGAGCCATTTGATTACTTCCCTGAGAGGGAAGGAGGGAAGGAGGTGCTGAGAGAGACTCAGGTGCAAAGGCAGCTGGGGTGCTGTAGTGGGGGCCAGAGGACAGTCAGTGCAGCCTTCTCTTGAGCTTCTTCCCAAATGGAAGGTCGCAGCTGTGTCCCTTACAGCTTTGGAGATGCACATGTGCTTGTTACATGAGAGGACCGTATATGCCTCAGCAGGCTAAGGACTAATTTAGGGTATTCCTTGGTGATAGGAGATAGATCCCATTTATCAGTCTTGTAGTTTAGGATTTTGGTGTCTGGCTGAACAGGGCCTCTCCTCCTCCAAAGATACACACATCTGGGGATGTTAAGGTGCTCCAGGGAAGCGCTGAGGCTATGTAGCCTGGGGTTGGCCAGCTGACACCTCTGAACATCACTTATTCCAACTTCAGGATTCACTGAATCACACTTTCTGCTCTTTATCAGCGTCATGGGACCCCATGAACTGTAGCCTGTCAGGCTCCTCTGTCCGTGGGATTCTCCAGGCAAGAACACTGGAGTGGGTAGCCATTCCCTTCACCAGGGGATATTCCTGACTCAGGGATCGAACCCAGGTTTCCCACGTTGCAGGCAGATTCTTTACTGTCTGAGCCACCAGGGAAACCCTCAGTGAAATGTAACTAAGGCTAATTAATTCAATCAGTGGCTTGACACAAGAGATGCAGAAAGGGTGATATTTTGTAGGAAGTGGTGGTTATAAATTCTGGGTATTAAAGAACCAGGATGCTGAAGAGGCTGTGGACTCTACCTGTCAGAGTTTACAGGGGACAAAATCCAGGCCCAGGGAGGCTGGTGGTGCCTATATCCACAGGGGAGGCAGGATTCTAAGCCAGGATCTCTGGTGCAGAGCTGGGCTCACATTGGAGAGATAGCGGCTGCAGCCTGGGAGCCGACCCCAGGCTTGGCCCTGCCTTGAGAACCCTCCTGCGCCCCTCCCTCAGGTTGCCTCCATCCCCAACCTGTCCTGGTCTCTTGTGTCCCTCTGTCCCCCAGTCCCCCCTGCTGCCCCCTGTGGTGCCACCAGTCCCTCTCCATTCCTCCCCACCTCCTCCCTGCCCCCTATCTTCACATTCTTGCATCCTCCTTCCACCGCCCACTGGTTCCCTGCGTCCCCTCCTCCTGTGTGCAGCACACCCAAGCGCTCCTGCTCCACCGGGTGCCAGGCTGCCCCCACTCATCCCAGGTGTGCGTTCCGGATGCTCACGCACTTCCCTCCAAAAGTGACTTTGGCTGCAGGTCCAGCAGCATCGCCTTTTCTAGCCTCAGGCCGGGACCTCTGGGACTGCTGGCTGCAGCCGACTCTATTTAGTCTCTGTTTACTTAGAGGGAAAGCCCGGGGCTCCTGGAGAGCAAACATCTGCGGGAGATAATCTAGGAGCTGTCCATCCATCACTGGGGGCGCCTGGCTCCCTGGAGAGCCCGCCAGAGCCTGGAATAAAAAGGCCGGGCGAAGAGGCTTTGGGGACAAATAAAGAGCTGTGTTAAGGGCCCGCTGAAAATGGATGGAAGACATTATTAAGACTCAATGGCCGTCTTATCAAAATCCAATAGGATAGACATTTGGCAAAAGGCTTAAATTTATTCTTTGACTTTCTGGAGGGTTTGAATTTATCCGTTAACAAGAGTGTAGTCCACCCGGGGAGATGGTATCAGCTGAAAGAATTTTGATTCAATCTCTTTGGTGATATGAAAGGGGGAAACACCAGGCCCCCAATGGCTGCCCCATTGTCTCGCTTTATCTTGTTTTCTTTGACCGTCTTGAAAAGGAAGGACATGTACAACAGGCAGAAAATGCAGAGGGAAATGACCTTTTTCTTTTTTTATTTTTGTGTTTTCTTCTCCCCCGCTTCTCTACCCACACTGCCCCCCTGCCTCTCCAAAATAAATAAATGAATCAGGAATTCACATCTGTGGGGCTGAGGTCTGAACCGGGACAGGTGCAGCTCCAGAGGCATTGTAGTTTGGAGTCACCTCAGCCAGCGAGCTAGGCCAGGGGTGGGGAACTCGAGGCTTGGAGGGAAAGTCAAAAATAAATTGAGCTAATAAAGCCCTGCTGTTGGAGTGGGACCATGATGAGTCCATAAATCTCTCCCTGTTATTCCGCACAAAATGCTACAGGTCATAAAAGTCATCCGATAGCCCAGCCTGGCGTTCTCCAATAGGGTGATGGATTGATAATTACGATAATTCTCGAAATGATTATTTGGACGTGAGGACCTTGGCCTGTCCCACTGGGCTGTTGTACGTGTGTGTTTTCTACAACCTGGCCCAGGCGAAAAGCCTCTGGTAAGGGGCATCCCGAGGTCTCCTGGGTCCCTCCCTGGGGAACCTGGGGACTAATAAAGATGACCAGGAGCCAGGAAGACCAGGCAGGTGGGAGCAGAGATGGACAGGCAGCTGCCAAGTGTCCTGTGCAGCAATTAGTTGAGAAGGCTGCATACCCCAGGTCTCAGCCAGGCTGCCACCAGGCTGTGCCTTGGGGGTTTGAGTCCAGCACAGAAACTATCCAGGTGTTTGTGATCTATGACCCTCTATGTGGTTTATTCCCTTTGCGTTGT